TCCAACTTCAGCTTCCTGTTTTCATTTGTAGGTATAGATTTATACAGTCTATGATTCTGATCTGTGTCAGGGTATTTGTTTTTTTTTTTTTTTGCAGTCAGCTGGGCTACAGTATGACCCAGTAAGAACGAAGGACGTGATTCCCTTAAAGCTCTCTGTCAGTGTGATTTAAGTTTTTTGTGCTGTTGCTGTCAAAGTAAAAGTAAAATATATGTAAATAACAAAAATCATTCAACAGGAAACAACTACTGTCATGTGATCAAATATGATGTAAACTTGTTTCATTGGATCTGAGTCTGGTGTTAACTATATTTTTAATTGTGTTACTTTTTTGTTTTTGCTAAACTCCGTGTGTTTTTTAGAGTGTAAAGAACTTGTGATGTTATTTATGCTGCGGTGTTGCTACTTGCATTCTGAATAAGACCACAAGCAACTTTTTAAAAAAGGAAGTGGGGGGAAAAGTACCTAAAAGTGTATGTGTTTTACACTCTTTTGCTTGTAAATATTGATATGGTTCAAAATCTTCAAGTTCCTCGAAAAAAATTGCTTTCCTGAAATAGATTTTCTCATCTGCATCACCAAGTTTGCACATCTGTATCACGCTTGTCCAATCGCCATTCAGTTTATTACACACTTGATGTTTTTTTTTTCCTATCAATCAGTTTACAATAATGCTGACACAACAAATACAGTACAGCTGGGTTGCAGTCACGTGACCTGGATGAAATGCAAAATTCAAGTGGGGGGCAGGAAGTGATTTGCTCCGGTTCAAAACACAGTGAAATGGATCACAGCGAGTATGCTAATGCACTAAATGGGCTAGTGCAGATGAGATTTTGCGAAAAAATACACATACATTTAGGATATGATCCATACTGTCGTAATAAAAAAAAAGACTTGGAGGTTTTTATTATTTCTAAGTGTTTGGATCTACTTGTAAATAATTTATTTAGTTTCATTAAACCCAAATTTGAGTAACTGTCCAATAAAATATTTGAAAAACACAATTTAAATGATACGATCCTTACCTGTCAGAAAGTGGTCGCTGCAAACTTTTGCATTGTCCGTTTCCGCACCTCCAGTTTTTAGCCGTAGTTTGTCGATCCAATTTTGTCATTCTTTTTTTTCTGACACACTACTTTCAGAATGTGACAAAACTTTTGTCTTTCTCTCAATTGGAGCGGTTGCAACAACCGTACACGGCACGGAATTTAGGCATTTTGACACTGATTTAACAGGAAAAAAACAGGGCTGCATTTACTTCCTGCATTCCGTGACGTCGATACGTCGAGAAGGGGTTATCTGCGGAATCAAAGTGGGCGTGTCACAAGAGTGGACGTGTCAAAAGCATAAACACTGGCTGTGTCCAAAACGGCAGGCCGGGTCCTCCGAAGGCCGAATTCGTCGGCCGCATACGTCATACCGCCGCGACAAAGGACGTCCCAAACCGAAGACTCCTCCGATGCGGCCGACAAATACGTCCTTCCTTTGGCCCGATTCGAAGTACTGGTCTGATGGATCCTTCCCAGCCCAGTGTATCCCATAATGCATTGCGGCCCGACCGGAGATTTTTTAAAGCTAGTAATGGC